GGTCCATCGTGATCGACACATTGGACATGCCTGTCCTAGAGTAAGTGTGCACTTAGGATATGTTGTGCCATTGAATTCTTCCCCGCTGCCATTCTTGTTTATTCTCTTCAGTCATTAATGTGAGTATAATGACTCAGAAGTCCTGATGTGGGGAGAGTGAGAGTGCATCATCATATGAGGTCCTATAGTTAGTGTGGCAACGAATCTTAGTGTTTGTTATTAATGTTGTGTTTATGTAGAATGTAAAATAATATGCTCCACCATCTGAAAACAGTACACTTGAATTCCTGTTTAACAGTGAAGTTAGACATGTAATTTTATATGATAGGTTATAAACATATCCACAGATTTATATGAAATATTTTTTATTTAAAAATTACAGGCTTGTCTGTTGTGCAGGTTTGTGAGTTTATTGTGTGATGACTGAGGTAGTGAAACTGACAGTATGTTTACTGTCATGTGTTGGGTGTATGTTGCGCGACATAACTTCACGCCGTCTTGGATCTAGCGAATTTATTCACACTCACTCTCACACTTACACAATTTACAATCTCACAATTCCATCGGTAGTATCACAATTACTTATCCTGTAGTCATTGCCATGCACTCGATACAACTGACTTCGGCGGCTGCTACATTTTAACTGACTAACTTACTCTCTCTGTAGTAACTCACTCAATACTCACTACTCACTCTAGTAACTCACTCACTAATCACTCATAACTGGCTCAATCCTTACTACTCACTGAACAGTGTTTGCTGCTCCTTATTTAGGCTCAGCACGGACAACATAGAGAACACCTTGCTGCTCGGCAACAGATATCAGGTATTGTTGTCAGGTGTTTCTACCTACGCATTGCCTAGCAATAGGCGCTGCACAAACTCCCCTATGTGCGTGACGCCATGTTTACCGATTGCCTAGCAACAGTCGTTGCACTGGCTTGCCTGTTGCGTGACGTCACAGCCTCGCAGGGAAGGGTGTTTACTGAGGATTGGGTAATGATAGGAGTGGGGGTACATAACATCACTCGTGGAAACACAGAGTTCAGGTGACCCCTACTTCTTGTTGCGCCATCCACATCACAATATGTATATACAGTAAAACTTGGTTATAGCAACATCGGTTTCTGCGACACCTTGTCTATTGCGTCAAATATTCAATGGTACGAACTAATTCCTCATAAAGCAACTGTTTTTATACCTTGCTTAGTACGACATGCACAAATGCATCAACCTCGTATGTAACGT